TTCCTTTTGTGCTTTTGAGAAGCTGTCATTTCCCACCTCTGTGACATGCGTTTTATATCAGGAAAGTCACCTCTGCTTCTGTTGCCCTAAGTATCAGCTAGGCATTTACATAGCTACATTCCTATTCAGTGTGTTATGGGAGACTGTAGACATGGCTGCTCTAAAGAAAAAGTGCAGTTATTGGAGCAATCAATCCCTCACCTTACCCAGGTAGGACCTCTTCTAGGTCCCTCTAGGACCCAGGTTAGAATCTCTTCCTTTTTCTAAGTAAAAACCTACTTGTAGGATAGAAGCTGTTAAATTATTCAAAAGTACAAATTACTGATACCCAATGTGTTATTACTCATGGAGACATTTTTGCATTTTAAGAGATAAAAAGTCTTAACCCGAAAGAATTGATTGTAACTTTTAAATTTGAAACACCAGTGAGCAGATAGAAAACATGTGTTTTAAATAAGATATAGAATGGGGGTGGGAAGGTATCTTCTGAATTATGCCATGTAAATAAGCCTACCACTATGGATAGACTTGGTTTTTGATTACTTGATGTCAGCATAGATGCTACAATAGAATTATAATTGCAATATTAATATTTAAATGACTTTTAACACCGAATTACTTTTAAAACTGTCAAGAGGAAATATTTCTAAATCTTAAATTAGCCAGAAGTTTGGTAAGGAATAGGGCCAACTCAGGTCATTAGGGAAGAGCTAAATTTAGAAGAAGAAAAAAATCCATGCAGATGAACTCAGGGTCCATGATTTCTAGAATATTTTCATTTATTTCTTCTTAATAAGTAATATAGTTTGATGCACTGAGGTTGACTTTCAATAAATGTAGGTTACCTGGTTTCCTGATGCATTTCTTCGAATATGTATCTGTTCAGAAATGATTTTAGGTTTGTTTTTTAATTCTAATTATATTCTGTAATTTTTTTAGTGGTTACAACTTTTCCTTTTGGATAGCATCTATACAGTTCATTATCATTTGGGGGAAATCCAAACATTTAAGCAACTTGAGTCTAAGCTGAACACACAAGCTGTTTATTTTGGAATACCTGCCCCCTACCCTACTACTACCACCACCACCAGGCAATAAACACTGGATTTGTCTTCTTCTTTAGTCATCCAAATAAGTTTTTATTACTAGGGTATAGGGGTTTCTTAGATTTTATTTTTATAAAAAGTTTCAGGTTTACATAAAAATTTAGCAGAAAGAACAGAGAGTTTACATATACCCTCTCACCCCACTCTACCTCATTTTCCCTATTATCATTTTGCATTAGTATGATACATTTACTACAATTCATAAGCAAATATTGATACATTATTATTAGCTAAAGTCCATAGGTTACATTAGGTCCACTCTTTGTGTTGCACAACCTATGGGTTTTTACAAATGCATAATGAAATGTACCAATACTACAAAATCATGTAGAGTAGTTTCACTGCCCTAAAAACCTCCTGTGCTCCATTTATTTATCCCTTCCTCTCTCACCCTACCTCTCCCAGCCCTTTGCAACTACTGACCTTTGTACTGTCTTTATAGTTTTGCCTTCATCTATAGGTTTTTAACAGTGTGAATACGATGAAATAATTTAGCTAGGGTGGTGTCATAGAGGTAAAACAGAGGGGATTTAAAGATTTACCATAAAACATATTCAATTATAGCAAGAGTACTACACTATATTCACCAACAATAAATACTACTATTTACTTTTTATTCAACTAACATTAATTGTTAACAGACTACATGCCAGTACTGTTTTAGGTGCTAGAGATAAAAGTAGTAACCAAGACATACAGGGTCTCTGCCATCATAGAATTATACACTCAAATTGAGAGCTAAAGGACAGAAATTAAACAAAAAGTCAAGAAAAATATTTTTCAATACTGCTAAGTAGAATAATGGAAGTCAAACAGGGTTATATGATAAAGTGATGGATGGGGATCAGTGGTTAGAGAAGGCATCTCTGAGGATATGACATCTGAGCTAATAATTGAGATAAGAAGCAACTGTCCGTGCAAGAGAATATTCTAGGCAGAGGGAACCGCAAGTAAAATGGCCTGGAAATGGGAACGAGCATTGTCTGATTAAAGAAAAAAAGACCATTTAACTCTGGGGAGTGAGCCAAAGAGAGAGTATGAAGGTGAGCCTGGGAGAGGCAGGTGAGATAGGTAGGCGAGGCCAGATCACAGATGGCCCCACATGCCACAGTAAGTAGTTTCAATTTTATTTTAAGAGGAAGCCACTGGAGGATTTTAAGCAGGAAAGTGACATAATTGATTTATATTTATAAATGATCACCCGGGAACTATACAGTATTTTAGGAGACATCTTTAAAATGAATACTAACACTAATACACCAAGAGTACTAAATATGCCAATCAAAAAAAAAGATGCCAATCAATACAATGCAAATCTTAGAAAGTAAAAACAGCATTTTTATGTTCAAGGCGAAGATCATCATGACATGTATCTGTCCCTGCCAAATGCACCCCCTAAGAGAAATAATCAACAGAGATGCCAATAGTATTTTTGATCATCCACAGTCTGCCAAAGTCATCATTTGGTACAAGGATTTTTACACTCAATTCTCTACCAAAATGAAAAATTATTGCCATAGGGAACTATAAGTGAGGACATCACTACAAGGATTTCTGCTTTCGACTATAGCCTTTTACTTTAAGCTTTGGAAAACCATGCTATGCCTGCAATTTCAAATTTCATTTTCAAAATACAAATGAGAAAAGGCTAATGTTCATGTTTGGCTCTAGCAGATAAAACCGAAAAACAAAACACCATTGGACACTTGGGGATGTGAAATGGAAAATAGCCAACCACCGTCCAGGTGCTTTTCTGCTTATTATAGGCTCAGCTCCAGGGGACCAGCCTTCCCTCTCAGTGAATAATTTTTCTTTCTTTGCTTAAAAAGGAATTGTAGGAATAAGTGATTTCTACTGTCTGTCTCTATGGCAACTAGTACCCTAATTTCACCTCTTAGATGGCAATTATACCTATTCACTGAATAGCTTTCAGTCCCTACTTTTGTGATGAAAAATTGATTTCATGAAAAATGAGATATAGGTAATAAGCAAACTTTTCCCCTGGCAACCATGAAGTACAGTTTATAAGAGGTATGATCATTTATAAGCAGAATACACTCTGTGGGGTTTTTTCCTTTTTCAGTTGTAAGATGTTTATTGCAAATGTCTTTCCTCTAGTTGTTTTTTTAATGATAAAATTGTATTCTTTTCTTCCTTAACATTTATTTTTATTCAACTATGAAAATTAGTTGGTTTCATTGTAAAGAGTTTGGGAAATACAGAAAAAATATAGAAAAGCATACCTAAAAAATAAAGTTCATTCTCCTTATTTAAAAATAATTACTATTAATATCCTGCTGGAATTTTACATGTGTATACATATAAATACAATTTAAATCCTATAGAGTATATTTTTGGAAACAGACTTTTTCATAAAACATGGTATGAGTTCTCCACAACATTGTATATTTTTTAACACATGATTTTAATGATTTCAAAGAAGTCCATAATATAGTTTACTATATTTTATTTAACTAATCTCTCTATGCTGACATTATTAAATATAAATTTTTATATATATACTTATTGGCTTAGAATAAATCCCTGAAAAGAAATATATAGATCAAATGGAATAAACATTTTAAATTACATTGCCAAATTTTCTCCCCCCAAATTATGACAATTTATTTTCCCACTAGAGGTAGATGGATGGGTGTATTCATTTTCTTAAATTCTTTAGCAGAGGTACTGTCTGTAAAAAGAAAAATAATGCCAATTTGATGAAGATAGGAAGTATCTCTCTACATTTCTTTAATATCTTTAATTAAAAACTTATTTTAAGGTTAAATATGTTTTTACATTTCTATTGTTTTATTAGGGGAAGGAGACACATGAATTGCTTGTTCACCTCGAAACAAAAACTATTTGTTATCTCTGAATATCCGTTCTTCCCCTCTTTCTTAGTAACAAAAGAGATGACTTACAGTTAAACATTTAGAAATAAAGACATTTTCCATCCTCCTTTGCATCTAAGTGTGTCTATATGTGACTTCAGGCTGATGAAATACAAGCAAAAGTGGTCTACACTATTTCAGAGAAATGTCCTTAAAGGAAGAAGATATGTCTTCTTTTTCTTCATCATTCCTGTTGGTTGGAATACAGATGTTATAATTGGAACTTCAGCAGCCATTTTGGTCCATGAGGATGGTCTAGGGATAGTTGAGCAGAAAGCTAGAGGGAGCCTAGAGTCCTAAGAAATTTGCAAAAGTGCCACCCTGGGTGGCTGGTCTCAAGATTTTTATGTGAGAGAATAAAACTTAGTACTTTTAAGCCATGATTGGTTTGCATTTTTAGTTTCATGAAGCCAAATTTAATTCTGACTAATGTAAGATTTTTTTCCTCATTTTTTTCTTATTGATTTTTAGGTACTCTTTCTATTTCAAGGATATTAATCCTTTATCTGGCATCCATGTTACAAATTTTCCCAGCAGACTGTATGGAATATAAAAATGTAAAAATATAGTTATCCTTAAATTTAATTGTTACATCAATTCATTATATATTCAGAAAAATTAGATAATGGTATTAGCTTAGAAATAGAAATTGCTGAAAAATAGTTTGTCTCAACCATCAGAAGACAGCACTGAGGCTTAAGTTTACTTCCTATGCAATAAAATGGTTATATTGTAGGCAAAAGTCATTTAGAGGATAATTCATTCTTTGCTAAAGCAGAGATTTTCCACTTGTAATCTGCAGAGACCTGGGTTCCAAGCATTGCCTCAGAAGTCTCCACTGGGGCTTAGAGGAAGCTGAGTGGGCTGGCTCTGCCTGCCACCCCCAATTCAGGTTTCAAAGGCAATCACTCTGTTTTATTCATTAAAGTTCCACAAAAGAGCCCCTGTCATGTGATTTCCCACACACTCAGATAAAAAATAGAGAATCACAATTTCCTACCAGATCATAAGCAGCCAGCATCTTTTTCTGCACATCTGGAATTGCCCCCAGAGCCTCCAGATAAGGAAAGTTGTCTTTCATCACAAGAGAGACTGAGGGAGTATTGTCACTGGTGATGAGCCGAGAGGACAGAGTCAACAGGCACTGCTTCAGACTGGCAATTGGAGGAAGTCCACACAGTTCCTTAATAGACACTATGGCATTCTGGGGGGAAGAAAACATGGAATCACACTTCTGACCACATGACATATCACCCCAGCACTTTCAGGTTTATACAAAAGTAAATTCATGAAAAGCATACCCTTAAATACATATGTAATTGGAAGCAAACTGGATTATAATCGACAAAAAAAAATGTGATACAAAAATAACACACAGCTAATTCACTGTGATAATTCATCTTTCTTAATTTTTAGCAACTGCCACAAATATGCCACGAAGCAAAACAGATTATGACCCAAGGCTAATACAGTCCTTTTCAAAGCAGAGCAATGGACTAGTCACACAAATTAGCATTAGAGGTCATAAATATCTTATTTGATGATCATAAAAACATGCCAGTGGTTTTACTTTGGAGTATCTCTCCTTTGAGCTTTTCCCCATAAGAAAGTAAGCTGCTGTTATTCATCGCCATCCTGCCATCTGACTAACCATCAGTGACATTTCTTTGTCATCTAATCAGAAATGCACCTGAGAGATATACATACGAAAACATATTTCATGGAGAGCAACATCTGTCCACGTTACAAGCTGTAAAAAATTCCTTCGAAATAGGAATTATGATTATTTTACATTTTATTAACAGTGAACAGTACCTAACCTAATATGTGCCTTGCTTTAGTGACAATGATAGTATTCATTTTTCTACTGATTAGAAAATAATCCTTAACCCAAACACTTTATGTTGAGAAGATATAAATTATCAATACTACCTGAAAAAACTTTATCTATAACCAACTCTCCTTAATATGTATTTTAAATACATAATATACACAAAAAAAATTTCAAGAATTATATAGAAATACATAAACTCTACTTCTAATACATAAAGTTAGGTATAAAATTGACATATCTAATCTAATATAGGCATTTGTATTAGTTATAGAATTATGTCAGGTAAAAGATGTTACTATTTGGAGCCTATTTTTAAATAGTGGCTAAGGCAACCCACCTCAAGTTAAGTGCTTACAATCTAAGTATTTGTATGTGACTTATATAACACATTATTTATCATTTTGGCTATTTAAAATTATTTTATGCCTACCCCAGAATTTCTCTGTGAAATAATGTAAAACTAAAGTTTTCATCAAGTGATGAGTTTGAGGTTCCATGTCACATGACTAAAAACCATGAATGACCATGGGTTTTGGTAGTTGGCAATTCTGGATTTAAAGCCCAACTTGCTATTTATTAACTTCCTCTACTAGCTTGTTCTCTGTCTTGAAAGTAGAGATTTTTTTGGTGAGGGTTACATAAAAACGTTAGCTCAAAGAGCAAATAAAGTACATTGAAAAATATTCCTCTCCTGTTTTGCTCTCATAGCATGGAGCACTGCCACTTCTGCCGACCAACACCTGCACTTTGTAGAAATTTAGTATTTATTGTTTGACTGCTTCTCAGTAACAAGAGCCTAGAATAAGTATATTAAATAGTATTGAAGAAAGGAGTTTGCAGCCATCTCTGCTTGTAAACAATAAACAGAAGGAAACTGATATTGAATTTCTACATGCAGTTTCTACTGGGCAATTTATATATATTCTCATTTAATTCTCGTAATAATCCTATGATGTATTACCATTTTTCTTACCTTACGTGAAGAAAACTGATGATCAGAGACCTGAAATCATTTGCTTAAGATCACACAGGGTCAGAATTTAATCTAGAATGTATGTTCTTTCAGTTAAACCACATTTCTAGGAGGATACTAGTTTTCAACAAGTTCAAAGGCTGAATTTTATTTGTTTAGTTTTGTTTGCTCTCATGAGAAGTAAGTTATTATTGTTGTACATTTAAACAACTGAAAAATCTAATAGGCATTATAATTGTTTTATATGACTTAAATTCCCTTCCATGTTCATATCTGCATATATTTTATATATACTTGTAATTATTATGCATGTGTTTGTATACATATTTTATATATCACACACATATAATATTTTATATTCTATTATTTTCACATTGTTTCATATACACATTCCCATATACCAATTTGGTTAAATACTAGGGATATTTAATTGATATACAGCATTTTGCTACATTGATACTCCATTAACTGGTTTAGTTCATGCCAAATATAAGAGCATCTATAATTAGAAACAAAATGTATCTGCTTTATCACAGGCAAAACTGAACTTAGTTTAGTGGTATATGGGTTTATACCATTTTTCTTATAATTATTTGAGGAATCAGATCATTACTAAAACACAATGTTTTCTGGTAAAAGTAGGGTCAAAAGAAGTGGAGATAGGGGAGAGAGTATGGGATTTTTCCTACCTGCATATTTTCTCTCATATCTATGGCTTCTCGTAAGGGATGAACTGCTATTTTAAAGATGTCATCTATGGTTTTAAGACCAATATTCCTGAGCATGGTATATTCTCGAACTTTCTTCCCCATTCTCACTGAAAGGCTGCGCTTCTGTGCCTTTCCTCCTCCACTTCGATTAGTTATTGCAATGTGGACAAAAAGGGTTACATGTTCCATGATGTCACCCACAAAAGAGCGCAGGGGAACATGCCGATATCCAGGCTGCAAACACTCAAATGGTATTGTATACTGCCCTATAAACTCATCCCCAATGTAGTCATCATCCAGAATGACAAAACGGATCATGGCCAGCTCAGGTAGGTTGACTTGAAACTCAAAAGTTTCATCAAAAATAGGATTATCACTGTTTTGTTGTACAGTTTTAGTTCTTTGTTCTGAACAGTCCGCTGGTATTCCATGTATCTCTATACAAACATAGGGATCTATGACATCCCCTTTGGCACAAGCTCCTTTGGGCTTTGGGAAATTCTGGCCACTGATGATCTTGATATGAAGAGCTAGAGGAGACACCCCAGGTACGATGCCCTTTGTATTTGCACTGAAGTAAGAAACTTCATCCCGCATGATAGATGGCCTTAGAACATAACCACATCCTCCATTTTGAAGAAACCAGCCTGTGTGAAGGTCCATCATTGGACCCGGAGTCTGAAAATTCATTGCCACAATCTGACAACCACAATTCCAAAAGTCCTGTGGATTCAAGTTACTGGAATCAATCCTCATGGCACTTGGATAGATTCTTGATAAGAACTTCTTATTATAATTTACAAAATCCTCTGGGTATTCATTTGCAATTCGGCTGGCCTCTGTTTCACTAAATGAACAAATTTCCCAGTAGTTTTGACTCTTCATGGACAGTTCAAAATCCCTGTATTGAACAGATTTACAAATAGATACCAAATCAGAAAGCTCCCGACACAGCCAGATTTGTTTCTGCTCACCGTTGTAATCTACTGACATCCTTCGAGACATTTCAGCTTCTTCATCTTCGTCTGTTACTTCTCCTTCTAAAACATCTGAATCAGAAGGCAATTTCTTCCCTTTCACAATGATCATTCTTTTTAACTTTTCCGGTGATGGGAGGTAGGATTCTGATGGCAAAGGTGCTTCAGTATAGAGTTTATTGCCAAAGACCTTTTTCATCTGTTGAACCATTACCTTCTGCTGTGGTAAGGAGCAGTGATTCCCCAAGCAAAGAACAAGTGGGTATTCAGAAGCCACAAAGGCAAATTTGTTTATCACCTCTATGACACTTCGAAAAGAAAGGTATGTTGTCATGTTATTTCGATTACAAAGGATTGGTTCATTGTCTGAACCATCACTTACATCAAGTTCAATGCTTCGACAGCCCATTTTCAAAGCTCGAACATACCCATTAATATCAGCTGGCCCCCTGAATTGGTCTTCTATGAGATAGGTGTTGTGAGAGGCATTGATATAGTAGTGGGATAATGGCTGGGTCATATCTTGGGCAACCTTTTTTTGCTCAGGGTCAAAAATGTCACATTCTGGTGACAATAAATACTGGGTAAAGCCATCAATTGCAAGAAACCCTTTTTGACGTCCCTCTTCAGAAAGTTCATATCTCCGAATAATGTCTAAGCACATATCCTCAGTGATATGGGTGACTCCTTGCTCAGCTTCTAAAAATAGCATTAGATCATTGGCATCCAAATATTCTTTATTTTTAGATATCTGTACAAGTAAGAAATACACTTCTGGCCTGGTGCAAAGTTCACAAAAAGCTTCACAAAATTCCTCTTCTGTCACACGGGTGGTTAGCTTTTCTTTGCTCTTCTGGATTTCTTTAAACTTTAACCTGATCTTAGATTCCTTCAGGGTAGGGTTGAGTTGTTTTATTAACTCCACAGCAGTGTCTTCCAACATAATTCCATTCCCATCAACATCTGCCGCTTCAAACACTGTTTTCAACCACATGAACCTTGGTGTGTTCTGGTTGCCCTCCTCAAAATCAAGGGGTTGCTTACTTCGAGAAACCATGTACCGTAACCCTGACACCCAGATGTTTGCAACATCTGCTGAATTGGCAACTAGGTCTAAAGACTCGTAGTTTTCCCCATGGAGTATGGAAAAGGCACAGTCCTCACAAATCTGGTCAGCAAGGCCATTGTTTCTAAATGTTTCCGTATTCTTCCCTAGTCTGATCTCTTTTATGGCAGAAATATCAAGCTTAGCTTTATCAAGGTCTTTCTTGGAAGGTTCCCAGCGGAGGGCTTGGAGGTCTGTGTCCAGAGTAAAAAAACGGTTGTAAATGCGAGAGTTTGGCCGGACTTTCTTCAGCTCACAGCCAGCTTGCATGAAGCTGATGCAGTCGCTCGCACTGCTAATTTTCTTTTCCGACGGCATGCTGCTGAAAGACACGGTTTTCTTTCTTCCACCACATTTTTGGTTTGAAGGATCCTGTAAAATGATTTGAAAATAATGAATCAATTTTCTTCAGAAAACAGACAAATTCAGTAACACTCTGTGAACTACTTAGACTCCATTCAGATATTATGATAATTTAGACAGAGGCTAAAATTTACTATTCTACTGTTTCAGAAAAGAGAAATTGCCGAGAAAATTGGTATTATTAGGTTCTGGAAAAATGCTTATCTTTAAAATGCCTGTGTATTCTTTGAGGTAAAATCAAGTGCCATTAAGTTAACGACAAATCACTCTCATTTGTTTATTAAAGCAGGTTTGTAAGAAACTCTACCTGTTGGTACTTTGACAACCTAGCTAAGTCCATATAGATATGTGAAAGAAACAAAGCTGGATTTTTAAAAAATTTTCCATACTTATACTTTGCAAAAGTTTAAGTTTTATACTTAAACTAGTTCAAATGAAAGATTTTTAACCTTAACATACTTTAGATCACAAAGGGCTTGCAATATAGCTTAACTAAAAATAATTTTTTTTCCTCAAACTATTTTGAAGAATACAAGTGTCTTAAAAATCAGACTGAAAGCTAACAGTAGGCAAATGACTCTCGAGCAAATATTCAGACCGAGGTAAACAATTTAAATGAACATTATCAGAATTCACACCTGCATCTCAATATAATGTTCTTAGTAGCCACAACTTAGAACCAAACATAAATATGATTAGTTCCTCTAACTTTTAAGTTACTTCCAATGTAAATTAAATTTCAAAGACTTTTGCCACAAGATTTCACAGGGAACACTTGCACCTTGCCTTTTACCCAGGTCTGTAAGCATCCTTGGATCTTAGTCTCAGAATCTTGGTCTCTTCAGCCCATTTCACCCTTCCCTAAACAACAGTGCCAATGGGGTGTAAAATTCCATTCATTCACATTAGTGTATCTTATGGAAGTTAATTATTTCTTGTGGGTATTTCCTTCTTGGACATACCTAGGCTTTCTCACCTATTATCTTTTCTAAATTATAAGTCCAGTCCTCTGAACATTCATAAGATGATGGATTTCATCTTAGCCCTGGACTGTCCACTGTGTCTATCACTCCCAATTCATTTACACTGAACATCTAACCAATGCCACTTAAAATAGGTTATTTCTTTTTACTTTCGTCTGCTCAGACTATAGACTCAAGTTAATGATGTTCCCAACCACATCGTCAATTCTCCCAGGAACAGATTTCCCAAAAGCACTTTAATGCATATGTGCAGCACCCAATTTTATAAGCATATCAAAGAGGCAGCAAAGTGTAGAGTAAGAAAGGCATTGTCCTTAGGGTAAAAATAACTAGTCTCAAATTGTGATTATTCCACTTACTAGACATATGACCTTGAGTAAGTCACTTAGCCTCTCTGAATCTTAATTCCTGCATTTACATAGGAATTAATAACCCTTCTATATAATAGAGTGTTATTGTAAGACTCAAAAGAGAAAATACACATAAATTCTTTGTAAATTATGAGTGCTTGTAAGGTTATTCTTTTTGAAGAAAGAGAAACATTTCCTCACATGTTTAGTCATTACAGCCACATGATATTACTATTTTAAACACTGAAAAGTATAGCCAAAAGTAGTCTGGTCTGTCTCCTTCACCAGCATCCTTTTAAAATTGGGTAAAATCTCTTTTGCAAGGCCTCATTTAATTGTGGTCTTGCCTGTAAGAGCCTCCCTATTCTATGATTCAGAAAAAGCCAGGAAGATTTATTAATCAATTGACTAAAACCTTGCCTATGAAAAGGAAACAAATTTTGCTTTAGTTATGGAATGTTGGTGGGATGATTCATTAACTCAAATATATATCTATTTTCAGGTGACAACGATATATATTACCCAAGTTAGGTTACAGAATACTGCCTCTTGGTGCTTTGGCATTTAAAAACTTAGTTCTCGCTTTTCCAGAGAGTTGTTATTTTTAATTATACCATAGTGGTCAATTTCTTCATCCTTAAGTTAAAAACAACTATAAATCTTCAGCTGTTTATACACAGATGCAGTTAGAACACATTTAAATTCATCACAACCCAAATGTTCAGAAATATCAGATGTTTGTGTGTATTTTTCCACACCATCAAGGCAGGCACCTAATGGCACTGCTGAGATGGGATTAATCTAGCAAGTAAAATAAAAAGAGAAACTTAATTGTGATGGTAAATTAGACTGTGACTCAGCTTTTAAAGCTACCATTTGACTAGTCATTTGAGCTAATGAGAGCCTTCACATTAAAAATTATTTTTATATAAGCGGATCATGTTCCAAATAAGATTATTGTCAACAGAGTTATAAAACTTTTAATAGTTTCTAACAAACTTTAAGTGGGAAATTAGTATTCCTGTAAGTGCATGTATGTAGTTCCTGCACCCTATGCGTTATTATGCATTGTTATACCAACTTCACATTCTAATGTTCCACTCTTGACATGAGCTATTGTTTGTTTATGAGAACAAAACTATTGCTGTCAGAGATTTCTCTTACAAGTCTCTCTTCTTTATGGTAACATCTCCTTACATAAAGGCTTCCTCTCCTACCAAGTTTAGACTTCAAGAGATCAATGTTTTATATCTAGCCTACAAAAGTATCCACCTGCTCATGATGCATAGTTCTTGCTTTGACCCGAAATTCCTTTATGATTATACAACTTATTCCAAAATGCCTTAAAACTTGGAACCAGTGGAATAGATATGATCAGAGGTTGTCATCTCACAAAGGACAAAATCCAAAGTTATTGCAAAGCCCCCAAATGAGCAAAGAAACGATCATAGCACATATGAACAAATAATTAGATTGTCTGCTCTTGACTAGAGCCAAGATTACTCATATTCAAAGTATGCCAAAAATGTTTCAGGACTCTCTAGATCTTTCTGTTCTTTCAATGGCCATACTACGCATTAGCTCTACAAAGTTGGCAGTGGGAGGGGGGAGATGAAAACTGTCAGCACAAAAAAGATGGGTGACTCCAAGTCTCCTTCGGAGCTTCTTCACCACCATGGCCTTTTGCCAAGGCCTATACCCTCAAATCTTTATTTCCCTCAAGAAGAGGGTGATTGGTGGTGGAGAAGGAGGACTATTCAGATAAATAGACAGAAAATATCCCCAGCTGAAAAAGGTTGATGTGTTGGTTATAGATCTTCCTTGTTGATAAATACAAAAAAAATTTGATGATGAAATGAGAACAAATCCATTGCAGTTATCTACATATTGAGAAGACAGGTATTTTCTCACTTTCCAAGAGAAACCAGGTTTGTTATCAGTTCAGATGTGCCTTTGTCAGCATTTAGCTCATTACATGATTGAATTTACTCCAATGACCATTAGGTCTATCCAGGAGATTTTTATAAAGTATAAGGACTTTCTGTTTATCTCAAAGCTAAACTTTCTCACTCTAGAGTGAAGGGAAAAGACTGAAGAGCCAACTCCTCCTAAAATTTCTCTTAGAGCCACTTATAAAAAAAAAAAGTTTAAATTATTAAGATTAACAGCATCTTGTGATGCCTCTGACCCCTAAACTAAAGGTTAGCCGCATATTCTAGTAGGGTTTAAGAATTAGTCAGACACAGAGTTCAATCCTTCTGTTTCCTAACATTCTATGTTTAGGTTTCTGAATTATCATTTCACGAGAAGGGATCACACTTAAACAAATTAAATAATAAAACAAATAAAATAATTTGTGTTTATGTGGTCTCTGAACATCTCCAGATAATACTTTAAATTTTGTACCTACTGTCTTCTTAAATTAATCAATATTTCATATAAAGATTTAATCATCAGAATCAAAAAGAATCTCATAAACAAGTAAAGCAGTAAACAAAAGTTTTACTTGTATTAAAACAATGTAAGACATTGATTTGTCTATGAGCAGCACTGTTTCTAATATATTTACATCATAAACATAATTTCTATTTAATTAATGATGTAAGAGTTGATTTCTAATCTTAGAAATAACTTCAAAATATTAAGAAAAAATGTACAAATGCTATTTTTTAATTTTTAAAAATTTTTTGTTATTTTTTACAACATTGTTGCTTATCCACTGTTAACATTGTTGCTTATAAGCAACATTGTTACTTATCCACTGTTATCTACCGATCACGGTTAAATGAGATTCCTATACAACAGTAAAAGCTTTACAGCTCCCTAAACATGCTTCATTAAGCTAAAATTAGGGGGAAAAATGTTCAAATAAGCCAAAATAGTAAACTTATTTTCATAAGTTACCACTGGCTTTGATCTTTTTAAGCCCTATATAATTGAATATGTTGCAAGTTCTTCAACAAAAACTCAACTAATAAAATAATTTTTTTTTCACAGCACGCTGATAAACCCCAGAAAAATTCTGCTGCTATTCAATGCAAGCAAGCACAGCTTTGGGTGTCAGTCATGAAAATGCTGAATTATTTCATATAACAATTTCAGAAAAAATATACTGAAGCACTCCAAAAATGTGGATGTAGCTAACATCACAAAAATGTATACTTAAAATGGTTAAAATAAAAAAAGTTATGTTATGTATATTTTACCAAACACACACACACACAAAAGAGTATACTGAAATGCTGCACAAAACTTTAAGAGAAAGAAAATATCATACCTCATTTCCCTACCTCTGAAGTGATGAGCATGTTTAAATATCTAATTATATTGTCATGTAGTCTTTTCATTTTTTGGCAAGATGTTTTTAAGTGAACTGTTATAAAATGATTTTTTGTTAAAACAGAATAATTTTACAAAACCCTAAAGAATAGCAATCAAAACACCCATTGTCAAACTGTGATTAGAAGGAATCTCTGTTTCATGATGCAGAAATCCAGTTACATAAATTAAGATTTCTCAAAGTGACATTCTCTTTTCTCTCTTAGTGTAAGAGTGGCGGGGTGGGGGAGGCAGGGGAGAGAGACTTATTTCTAAAGAGTTCTTTTAAAAAAAGTCTTCAGATAAAAATTTAATAGATTATAACTAAAAGACAAATAAAAATAGGCACATAAACCTT